GGTTATACAAGACCATCTCGCTCAACTTCATGTTGGTCTGAAGAGCAAACTTTCTCTCGGTGACTTGGTTTGCTAATCTACCAAGACGACGTTTTTGGGGTACAGTGGACAAGTTTCCGAGGATGCAATGATCAGCCTCCTGGCTGAACCTTGTACACTCATTCCAATTTCGCAAGCCGAAATGTTTGTGAACCTGTCACCCTTTTCTACCTTGAGTTGGCAATCCCCGTTGTCGGCTTTCTAAAAGAAGCAAAATGGGACAACCCTGACCAGGGTTAAGTTGAGGAGCAGGTTGATAAATTGTAGTCCTCCAACAGTTAGCGCTAGATAAAAACGCTGAAGTTGTCAAGCGGAACCACACACACTTGCAACACTGTTGAGAAGTTTGGAATACCTAGTCAAACTTTACTCTTGCAGAGGAACAAGACTGAAGATTGGACAGGCATCTGCGAGGTGAGATTCGTAAGCATTGAAAGTGGGTATTGGTATGTACAACTCATTTAGAGATATTTAGTAATTAAGGTTTTGTATCGTCAATTTCGAACGATATAGCCCCAAAATAAATAGTTGAAAAATGCATTGAACATTAAGTTGTGGGGACAGTTAACCCAAATGCTGATAAATCAAAAGTGGGGAGGGGAAGTTGTTTCAAATGCTGAGAAATCTGAAGTGTGGTAGGGGCAATTATCCCAAATGCCGAGAAATTTGAAGTCGAGAGGGGCATTTGTCTCAAATGCTTTGTGATCATTTATTTTGCTACTTTTTGTGTTGCAGGTTTGATTACTGCATAGAGGTTGAGCATTTCATGCTCAGGTATTTACAGTTGGTGATAGCTTTTTATATGAATCAGTTCATTTGACTGAGTGGTTTAGTGGTGATTTAGTTTTTTTGAACGACTGACCTACTGGTCTTAACAGTTTGTTTTCTGGATCAGCTTGGAGAGAAAATTTTGTTTATGTCCTTGTGGTTTCTGTCTTGAACAACATTGGCTTGCTGTATGATTAAATTTTCCACAAACTTCGCAGAATTTTAGTGCTACGTTTACCACTGGGGCGAATGATTCATTAGGATTTTGGGTGTCTACCTGTTGCATCGGATACGGTTCAGGTTGCTGTTTAATTGGCCGTACTGAGCCGTTCGCATACGCATAGCCTGCTGTTGATGATTTGGTTGCGCCGGTCGATAAGGCTTGTTCTGTTGCAACTGCGGGTACTGCGGCATTTGGGGATGCTGTTGCATTTGCTGCACTTGGGTGTACTGTTGGTTCTGAAATTTGAGAGGAAACCTATGACCGAAATCTGGGTTCCTTTGTGGTTGGAGCCCTTGGTAATTATTTCCGCCGATGAACCGTGGTGGCCAGTTATTTTGCCGTTGTCCACCTCTACCTTCTCTTCCTGGTGCGAACCAGTTAATTTGGTTTGGACAATAGCTTTGCTGATAACGCCCTCCAAATTTTTCTTTAGAAGCTGCATTATGTTGATTCTGCGAGTAGCGATGATTTTTGAGGTGCCGGCGATTGCTCAAGTGAGGTCTTCTCTTGTTCCGACATCTGCGTTCTTACTTCATTCAGCAGTTTTTCCTCAGTTCCTTGGTTGTGGACAGCGTAGTAAGGGCGCTAATCAAACTTTGTGTGACCGTTTTGCTGTTTCGTTGAAACCATCACCTGGATATTACTCATTTCGATACATCTCGCGGATGGTCATCTATTTTCGTAAGACACTACCAATCGAACCGTAGTTGCTGGTGGCTGTTCCATCAATTTGATTTGAAGCCAGCCTGGCATTCCTTGTCAGCCTGTCATTTCGGTTATCACTAAGGTCGTCGAGCCATTTCTGCATCTGTCCCATTTCTCTATTGAAGCGTACTGCTTCTATCGCCGCATCTGCTGCTGCATCTATTGGCGCTACTGCTGGTAGATTGGGCGTTGAATATGCTCTCTGCGCTTTTTTGTCAAAACGATCAGATTATTTTCTTTTGTATCTTTTTCAGGCCGAAACGTTGCTGTTCGAGTTTTAAAACGCTCATTCCGGTCGATGCGGATTGCAAAAATGGTCCCTTGAAGCTGCAAGGCTTGCGAGGACATCTACTCTAGTCGCTGTTGGTAGCATCTGTTGGAGCGTACTGCGTCATCTAGCAGAAGTAGTTGAAGGATATTTGCTTGCTGGGTTGCGAGTATGTCTGCAACTCCGACTTACCCTTAAAGCAATTGTTACAACTTCCCAAAGTCCGTTTTTTAGATCCTCCAAACGGTTCGACTGAATTTTGCGCGTGTGCCATCTTATCGCAGTTAAATGATTATCAGCATGGTTCAGTTGGCAATTTCACCTGGAAGTGCCTCTAATATAAGTGTGGAAATAATGAAAGCCTTGAAAAAGTGTTTTAGAAATTATTTTCTTTGGAACCAATGCAATTAGGCCTGTTCAGTAATCGCTTCGAGTGAGAGTAAATTAACACTAAATTAATCTAAGCTTTTCTTGAAATGTTTTCCTAAAGCTTTCGTATGTTTTCACTACTTTCTTTCTAAGCACTGTTAGGGTTTTCCTGTTTCTTGAATTGATTGCAATATCATAAGCTGAGCACTCATCAATTGTATGAAGGTAATTGAAGCACCAAAAATTTGAAAAATCCGGTTCAACTGTTTTTGATTTCACTCTCCTGGTGAAAAAGAAACGAAGCCTGATACCTATACAGCATGAGCAAACCAGTGTTCGCATAGAAGTGGTCCTCACAATTTTTTTCAGCTTTCCTTTTTGCTTTAGTCACTTACTGACTGGGGCGCTGTACACGCCAGAAACTGCCTCGACTCTATCTATATTTCAGCGATCCTGGAGTCGTCTGTCTGGTCTTGGGCGCTGTGTGTTGTCTTCAATCACAAGGATACTTTCAACATTCAGCTTTTTTGATCAGGTTCGTAACATCTTTTTTAGTTAGCGATATCTATCATCTATTTACTATGAGCAAGCGAAACGACCGGAAAATTTAATTCTGATCAATTACCATGGTTGCGCAAAATAAAATCAAAACTTAATTTGTAATTATTTTAAAAAGTTTTCTAAGTTCATTCCAGGGATCGCAGGCTGACAGCGAGGGAGAAAGAATAATGGGATATCCTCATAAACAAATGGGAATCCTGCAAAAATGGGATCCCGAGCTGAAGTAAAGTCTAGAATGGGTCAAATGCGTGAAAGTTTTTAAATTAATTGCTTCATAATTTAATCCCCGATTCTATAGCTTCTGAAACATCGACTTATCAAGCTGTAATTTGTTTTTTTTATACTCATGTGTTTGAAATCAATAATGTTATAAGATTTGTCTGTGGATTCCGCAGTGGTTAAACTCTGGTCCCTAAACTTCGAGTTCGTATTTCGAGCAACAAAAATTGTTTACTGTCAAAAAGAGCCGCGGAAACCAAGGACAAATTAATCAGATTCCGCGGAATCCAGTGACAAATTTAAACATGTTCCGTGTAATCTAGTGTGAAGTGAAAAAAGTCGAAATCAATTTGACAATGTTTTATCTGAAATTTTTGATGTTCGGAAAATCAGACTGGTGTTCATGAAGTAGTCTGTAAAAAACACTCAATTAATATTTGTGGGGGTGCTGATGTCTTGTCTTGATTGCTGTAATGACATGTCCATTCTGCTATTATATTCCGTGGAGTCCAGTTTACTAAAAGAAACAGTGGGTCGCTGGTAGATCCTTTTGTTGTTCCGACTTTCAAAGAAAACGGAAAAATTGTGTGGTGTGGTTTCTTTTTTATTCAGTCAGTTTTTGGCGATCTAAAAAATAGTTTAAAACAAAAAAATTTTACGCCCCACTGAAGATATCAACTCCCTGAAAATTAATTTCAAATAAAAAAATACACCCGATCATTTCTGCAAAGTTTCGGTAGTTTGAAAACTGCCAATTTGACCTTGCATCATAGATCCCAGACAATCTGGTCGTAGCGTTTGAATGATTCTTATTTAAACGGATCAATTTAAACGGACGATTGAAATAAAATGCTTTTGAATCAGACACAACTGTTAAATGGTTCCTAACTAATTCTAAGGATGGGGGAGTTTTTTGCAACGAAGATCTATAGTATTGTGAAGGTTACAATATAAAACAGGCTATTGTTTTGATTGTTTACAGAAAATTCGAGAAGAATCTTTTCTATTCTAAATTCATTTACACCCTAGGATAAGAATGCCTTTCAACTTCACATTCGACTCAGGCAGTTTTACTAACCTTGGGAAAAGGTAAAGACTTTTAAAAAAATTTAATGATCGATGCAAATGACTGTCTCCTGATCAAAAGGAGGATAAGAGAGTAAAAGAAAACTGAAGCCTTATAGCAGGTGCAGGCAAAACTAAACAGAAGAATACATACACGGATACACCCTTTATCCAGGATCGTATGTAATAAGATTGTCTATAGGTTTCCCATATATTAAGATTGTTTATAAGATCCTTATGTATTAGGATTGGTTATAGGTTCCTTGTGTATTAAGATTGGTTAAAGGTTCCTCGTGTATTAAGATTGGTTATAAGTTGTTAGTGTCGCCTCCGCTTCTTTGGGGCGGTGTTATTCAAAAAAAAATAATTTGAAAAAAATCTATTAAGAATTCATCCGTGATTGGACAAAAAAAAACGATTTTACTGATTAAATTTTTACAATTTGCAATTACTATTTTTCAGCTCTTACAATTACAGTCAGTCTTTAAAATTCAGCAGCTTTTTTTAGTTCGGTTATTTTCTCGTTCTCAGCCTATTTAATCAGCCAACTACTTCTTTTCTCTTCTCGCCTAAAGATTCCGGTCAACTTCTCTTTTTAAGCACTTTACTCCAGATATTTCTCAGCACTACTTTTCATCAAAAATCCATCTTCAAATAGTTCTGCTTAAAATTACGCTCTTTTCTCATCTAAAAATTCCCGTGAATATCTCTATCTCACCACCGAACTGTTTCAACGCATTAATACAATCGACGTAACAACCTAGCAGTCAAGACTGTGCACAGATGCATACGTCTGTCAGCTTGCTCCTGGCCAAACTAACGGACCTGAAAGAGTCGATTCAGGGCCTAGATTACAGCCGGTTGATTGTGGATGAAATCGAGGATGGATTGATGGCGGAAGATAACGGCGAATCCAAGAAAAAGACGTCCAACAACGAGGACCAAGAAATGATGGAGCTAGAGTTGTGAGGAATGACAGAAGCGTCGAAAAAGTATTGTCAGCTGTATGCACAGAAAGTAGACGTGCAGAGGGAACCTGCGGTCACGGAGCCGTCAGCGGTATGTACTTTTGACTCCAAATTTTTTTCTCAACCAACTTTTTAAAATTTGGTAAGCAAGGTGCAGAAAAGACTAGAGAGCTCTGTTTGAATGGGTTCGGAGGAGGAAAATGAGTCAGAGTTTATTATGTCAACTGCAGACGAGTTGAAAGAGTTGAACGTGAACCAATTACAAGGCCATCTTGACTCTACAAGATGTATTCCCCTAATTAAGAGAATATTCAAACCGACGCAAAAAATTACCAATCAGAGTACAGAGTTAAACCTGACAAACCACAAACAAGAATTTTTTAATCCCTCCCTTTTTTGCCGAATTACAAAATATATTAAAACGGGTTTTGATCTATTCACATTTTGTGAACGATATTTCTTAACCGTGCAGGAGGATAAAAAATTTTAAACGTTGAGTAAAATTGTTCAAAAAATATTAATCTTCTTTATACACAAAAATGTTAAACATTGCGAAAAAAATCTGTTCACAAAACGTGAACGGTTTTATTCAAGGTATAAAAATAGTGGGCGTTTTTTTCTCTTAATAAAGCTAATAAAGATAATATCCAAACTGATACAAAAAAAGCTCTAGGAGCCCCGCAAACTGATGAGGATCGAACAAAGTTAAAAGTAGCTTGCAGGAGACAGCATATTCCCCAGCGTTGCAACGGGGGGCCCTGAGAGACACCCTGTTTGCCAGCGACAGCGACCGAGAGACAAACGACGCCGGTCGCTATGGTTTACGGAGGCGGGTCAATGCGGCCGAGCCAAGTCCACCGACAACCCGAAACTCTTTTTGGGACGTGACACTCAAGAAACCCAAAAAAAATCAAAAAGCATAAAGTCCTAAGCTCAAGCAAACATGTTTGAAAGAAACTTTCTACTTTTGGAAAATTGGTATAAAAACGTAAATTGAAGTGCAATTCGGTTTGGCTGAAAACAGAAACAGTTAAGATACTTATTGAATGGAATAAAAAAAACAGTAAAAAAGAACATAAAGAGGGCCAAACTAGCTGGCAAGACTTTAACCTTTTTCGAGAATTAACCATTGGACCTTTTGGGCGCCGTGCCATCTGAATTAAGGAACCTCAAGTGTGGGTGGCTCCGGTTCCTCGCTGAGGTGGACGAGCGTGTGGCCTACCCCGAGGCAGATCAGGAGGTGGTGGTTTCGTAGGCAACTAGAGTATCCCGCACCGAAGTTTCATGGATAATAATCGATTATATTGGATTTTTGTTGACGGTCTCAATAAAATTACAAAAATAATCGATTATAATCGATTAAAAATGGATTATAATGATACTACTTTTCTAAGCAATATAATCCGAATATAATCGATTACAATCGATTATTTTTGGAAGAAAATGAAACTTGTTTTTAAGGCAAAAAAATCCATTTTTAATCGATTATAATCGATTATTATCGGTTATAATTGCAAATTTCTTCTTTTGCATTTCAGGAAAACTGTTATCAATGTCAGTTGCTTAGTATGGAATAAATTAAATTCTATTCAATATATTTTCATAATTTTTTTGACCAGTTTTTTTTCAAAATTTCGAAAAAAAAGTTTTGAAATTCTGCGACCTCAAATTGACTTTTAAATACGGAGTTAGCTTCAAACATGACAAAATATTGGTAATTCGTATAATTTATATTTTTATACCCTGGAACCTTCGAATTTTCTTGATTATTCAACGTTAACTCTTGATTGAATTACTCTTGGACGGAATTCTTGGTTATGATACCCTTTCCAGAAGGGTCACTCATTTATTTCAGAAATTATTACTTGAATTTTATGGTCGGGGCTGGCAGCTATTATGGTAAAGGGTTTTCGCTGGTTAAATTCATAAAAAGACAAAGAAGACTGGTTAAATTCATAAGATTTTAATTCTACTTCACTGGGGGGATTGAATTATGCATCCTGTAAAACTTTTAAAAAGTCTTTTTTGTTTGTTGAAACCATTTACCCCCATCCCGACCAAGAAGTTTTCAGCTGCATACCAAATTGTAGAGCGGAATTTTCTGAATATAATGGGATATGAAAAAACCTTTGAAACAGAAAATTCCGCAAGATTCCGGAGCTTCAAAATATATACTTTTTAATTTTTTCAGTATGAATTTGCTAAGAAACAAATAATTAAATTGGGGAATTTTTGAATGGAGGGGATGTTTAAATGGAGGCGAGGATATTTAAACGGTGGCGTGTCCCTTTCTCAACACCCCCTCCCTCCCCCCAACCGTTATAAACATTTGCATTGCCCCCCCCCCTCGAGAAAATTAAAACCAGCCAGAAATTTTGCAGCAAAGCCAAGGATGCAGAAAATTATCAGAAATAATAAATGATGAATTCTCATAACAACCCTGGGTGAGTTATTACCCAAGAAGTTTTAGGGTTTGGAAAAGTTTTAGGGTTTGTCGGCTGAAAATGGATATCATAAAAAATACAAAAGTGGGACCCTTTGGTTGGTGAGGGGGGGGGGGTCGACTCCTTGTGTAGTAGTCGGGCTTTTATTGTTAATTAATTGAATGAAAGTAAAAGTATTAAAACTAGGTTTTGACTGTGTTCGACTTTCGACTTATGTTTTGACTTTCCCTGACTAATGTTTTGATTAGAATAACAAATTGTTTCAAATTTTATTTTCAGATTTCGTTTGTCTTTTATTTATTGCAAGACTTATTTATTGCTTGATTTCGTGACTAAAAAAGGTCAGTATAAAATTTGTGTTCAGTCTTAGTTTATGACAATAATACCATCGAATGTGGGTAGTAAAACAACCTAGCCATTGAAGATGGGGGTAAGCTAACACAATAATTTTAAGTGGTGGGGGGAGGGGAGAGACAACCATATGACAAAATTTAAGTTTTAAAAAAATCTTTTTAAGGAAATTTCCCTGGAGTTGAGATCTGCCTTTTATCCGAGAATTCAGAAAATGTAAGTGATTCGTTTGACTTTTTATTGACTTAGATTATAAAGAAACATATGGATAAATTGAGCAATCTCCCCCGCATTCTCGCGTGAGGGGGAGATAGCCCAATAGGTACTTGAGACATGTCGGTCTCTGTAACCATGAAATGTGCTTGTTGTCAATTTATCAGGCAGATCTTTATCGATTTAAATCTGGAAGATTCATTTTTGCGTTTAAAAAACATGTGCTATTATATATTCAACCATTCACAAACTGGTTTTAATGCCAGACGATGGTTATGAATAGCTATTATTAATTGGTTAGAATAAGACAGAAAAACTGGATGTTTTTCAATAGCTGGTTAAATATAGGATATGTTTTTTGTCTCTAATCCTTTTATCAGATTACAATTTGCATATGTATGTATGGCTGGGCATATGTATGTATGGCTGGCCATATGTACGTATGGCTGGGCATGTATATGTATGGCTGGGCATTTGTGTGTAAGGGTGTATGGCTGGGCGTATGTATGTATGGCTAGGAATATGAATGTATATGACTGAGCACATGTATGTATGTATGGCGAAGCATATGTATGAATGTATGGCTGAGCATTGCGTTAGTTTTTACGAATTGTTGTTGCAACACCTAGTTGAAGCAAAATCAAGTTTGGTGCAATCCATTTGTGAAATAGTTTGGTACAATCCCCATTCGCTTGGGTCCAGGTGTTTTTGTGCTTAGCTTGTGTTTGTTCAAAAATTTGATGCATTTCTCTTGAGACATGTATCAAATATGCGTTGCGTTTTTGCAAATTGTTGTACCACGCCTAGTGAGAGCAAATTAAGATTTGGCGCAATCCATTCGGTAAAAAGTTAGGCACTATGTATCTTTTTAAATCAGGGTTTTTGTGAACATCTTCGGTTTTTATCAATTTTGACGCAGTTCTCATGAGACCTGTATCAATTTTGCGTTTATTTTTGCGAAGTGTTGTTGCCACACCTAGTGAAAGCAAATTAAGGTTTGGCGCAATTCATTCGTTAAATAATTTGGTACAATCCATTCGCTTTCAACCAGGTTTTTTTGTACGCAGCTTCTGTTTATTTTCAACTTTGATGCAGTTGTCATGAGACCTGTGTCAAACTTGCGTTAGCGTTTCTTCGAATTGTTCTTGACACCTGGTAAAGGCAACTTAAGGTTTGGTGCAATCCATTCGTTAAATAGTTTGGTACAATCCTTTCGCTTTGAACCAGATGTTTTTTTTGTGCTCAGCTGTTTATTTTCAACTTTGATGCAGTTTTCATGACCTGTTTATAACTTGCGTTATTTTTTTGCAAAGTGTTTTTGTCATACATAGTTAAAACAAGAAAAAATTTGGTGGGAACCATTTTGAAAAGTTTGGTACATTTTTTTTCTGTGAACAGAAGTTTCGTCTATTATTTTTTAAATAACAGACTCGTTTTATTCTTATTGCGTTTTGAGAACATTTTGAAGGTCGTTATCTTCGTTGGAAGTTCAATTTCTGACATATAAAGTAGTTTTTTACCGTTATTTCTTATGTTAGATGTCTTCCACTCGGCAAGGTAATCGAGTCATGAACGAGCATATCAAAGAGTTGGAACAATCCGTTAAGCAACACCTCCAGAACACTTGGATTCTCGTCTAATATTGGTCCGAAAAACGCCCTGGTCCGCTACACATCCTTGCTGATCAGATACAGGATCACGTTGATCGTAGACAGTCGTATAAGATTTTTTTCATTGTGTGTTTTTTTTGTCAATGATCTGTTCAAGGTGGTATTTTTTTCAATAGGCCGGGGAAACCATTTGGATAAAATTTGGTTAACAACCTTTCGCTGCGAGGATCGAAGCCATAGGCCCAAAACAGTACATTGATGCAAGTCTCTTAAAACTGTCGATGGCTTGTAAATGTTTGGGGCCAGATGAAGACCCTAATGTTCAATATGATGCGCCGGACGCCCCGCAGGATGTGATGTCGCAGCCAATCAATCCCAATGCA